CCCAGCCGGCTTCCAACCAGCAAAGTCAATAGGGGGAGGAGCCAGAGTCATTTAATGACCATATGAGTCACTTAAGAACTGCAGTGATTTGCTTAGCGACCATGGCAAACGGGTTGTAAAACCAACCTCCTTGCTTAGCCACGGAAATTCTGGTCTCAATTATAGTTATAAGACAAGGACTATACCGATGTAGCTATCAATCAATCAATCAATCAATCAATCAATTTATTATTACACCCAAAGGCCAACACATAAACTAAACAAAACTAAACAGAACCAACACAAGAAGACAGCAATATAGTACAATTAATGGTGTAATCAATGGGTGACCAAGGCCTGCCTACTTTTACAGACAGTATAACAAAAACTAGCTAGCTTCATAAAAACTGAATCATACTGACCTGACAATAAAAATACATTGAGTATAGTCTAATGCTGGATAAAAACACATAATAAAATTAATTATAAAAGATCATTAAAAAGATCTAAAATGTTTATTTATGTTTCTGGCGAATCCTCAATGCTGCTGCACAGAATCTAGCCACCTGCGCCGTGATCACTGCCTGCTCATCCTTAAGCAGCTACTGGAGATAAATACTTTCCGAACGACCGGGATACCTATCAATTATGGGGGGGGGGGATATGGTTTTTCCGAATAGCTCTATAGAAGGAACATCGAAGGAGTATGTGTCCAATGGTCTCCACTTCTCCTGAACCACAGGAGCAGAGTCTTTCAGCCAATGGTGCTTTTTACCGATGTAGGTAGTCCTCAACTTACAACAGTTCATTTAGTGGCTGTTCAAAATTACAGCGGCACTGAGAAAAGTGACTTATGACCATTTTTCACATTTAACGACCATAGCAGCATCCCCATGGTCATGCGATCAAAATTCAGGCTCTTGGCAACTGAGTCATATTCATGACGGTTGCATTATCCCAGGGTCATGTGATCCCCTTTTGCGGCCTTCTGCCAAGCCGTGTCAGTGGGGAAGCCAGATTCCCTTAGCAAACCGTGTTACTAACTTAACAACTGCAGTGCTTCACTTAACAGCTATGGTAAGAAATGTCGTAAAGTGGGGCAAAATTCACGTAACAAATGTCTCACTTAGCAACAGAAATTTGGGGCTCAAATGTGGCCATAATCCGAGGACGATCAGCTTTCTTTTTTCCCTTCTTCACTCTCAGGTAGCGTCTTGCACTAGGTGGACACGAAGGTGTCTTAGAGTTATCAGAAAGGGTTCCTTAATCATGCCAGTCACCTTTTGTATTTGAATCTTAGGAAGGGAACGTGCCATTTTGTTAGTCCCTTCAGGTAGCAACATATAATATTTTGGACCTGCCTGCTGAGATAAAAAGAGATTGAGGGGAAGTCTACTTTTTGTGCTGCTTGGGGAGACTTTTGTAGCCCAAGAAGGCTATGAAAGAAACATAGGAGCTCTTCAGTAGATTGTGGTTTTAGAATGCTTCTGTGTCCTTTCAGCCTATTTCTTAGTTCAGTGATGGCGAACCTTTTATAGACCGAGTGCCCAAACTGCAACCCAAAACCCACTTATGTATCGTCGGGTGCCGGGTGGGTGTGGCCCATTGGGTGGGCGTGGCTGCGGTGGTAACGGCCGACTGGGTGGGACTAAAAAGTTCAATCAATCAATTCCAACTTTGCGAAATCTTTTTTTCCCGCGAGAAGTTGAAATTGATTGATTGATTGAACCTTTTTTTTTTTTTTTTGCACACGGTGGCGGAGGCCTAAAGCAAAAAGGTTTTATAAAACCCAGCTGAAGGCCTAGGACTGGGGCGACGGTGCGCGTGCCCACAGAGAGAACTCTGCGTGCCATCTGTGGCCCGCGTGCCATAGGTTCGCCACCACGGTCCTAGTTCTTAGTATTCTAGAAAATCTGGCTTTAGGACGCTTGACAGTGGCTCGGCAGGATGTTTTCTGCTGCATCCTGGCTGGGCAGAAGAGGAAAAATGGAAATAACTAAAGATAGCTTTGTGGCCGAAGATAGCCTTGCCACTGTTGGTTTTTTCCCCCTCCGGCCCTCCTGTTTTGAACGATATGAAAGAAATCTGCTTTCTTGTCCCGGAATGCTTTTCCAGTTGACCTCTGTTATTCTTACTCATTGTGCCAATGCTCTGCAGTTTTGGAGTCCAGTTTATACTTGTTCTTTTTGTTTGCGGCAGTTGGATTCCCTGTTCAAAAGAGGGATGCCCACATGCAGATGTGGTACAAATTGAAGAAAAAGAGGTCTTTTAAGCATGTGCTCGGCCCAAGAATTTGTGAAACATAGGAGAATCCAGTTGCCATATCATTTCATGCAAAATTTATTCTTGGTTTCCCCCCAAGCATTCTTGATTAGCAATCTGATGGGGAGTTAGCACACAATTTTTGAATGATTGCTATTTTTGTTGAATTTAAACAACTAATGCTTCTGATCTATTGGAGGTTATTCAGGCGTGAGTCAATAGGTCACGATTTAGCTTTTGCCCTTCTTCTAATCCTTTTTATAGGAGTCACAACTCTTTCTGCTCCTTTTCTGTGGTCCCATCATCACTGATTTTGGTTGTTGTGAGAATTAGTTTTCACATAGTCTGCATCAACGCAAAAGAACAGGCTGCTACCAAAACAAGAAGCAAGTCCATCTTCTGCCAAAAAAAGAGAATTGCTTTTAGACTTATGTGTAGAGCAGGCACAAGCAAGCAGTGCAAGAAACTGAAGGCTGGCTGTTGTATAAACAGAGCTTGCAGTCACAGGAATTCTTTCATAATGGTGTCATAGTTTGGCTACGACAAGCCGGCTTATCTGAGCCTTCATGTCCTGCAAAATATATTGTTGGCAGAATTTTGTCTTGCTAGATGAGAGAGGCCCCTTAGTCGTTTTCAGTACGGAGATCTTCCTGTCTATTTACAGTACAGTACAGTACATGCTGGTTGGGGAATTCTGGGAATTGAAGTCCATATATCTTAAAGTCGCCACACTGATTTAAAGGGAAGACTTTCAAGCATTTTATAAACAACTAGCTGTACCCGGTCACGCGTTGCTGTGGCTCAGTCTGGTTAAATGGAAAAGAAAGAAAAGAGTTTTTAGCTGTCACAGGTGTGACATCTATATAATAGTAGGTATATAAAAACACGCGCGTATTCGAATGCAACGTTGTGTCAAAATTTCAAAGCAATCGGTGAAGAACGTTCGGAGATTTAAGATTTTGAACAAACGGACATTTACATTTTTATTTATATAGATAGCAACTATCTCAGTGGCTACGTCAGAGAAAAGGCTAAGGGATTATTTGTGTGTCACTGTTCCTCTGAAAAGGAATCAAAAGCAGCATCGATAAATACATTAGCCCACTCATAATGGTAATATGTTAGACTGAGAAATATGGCTGCTCATCCAAAATTTCAGTAGAACTTTGAATTCAAGTTTAATATTTACAGCACACTGATTTACCAAGGCCTAACTTTTGTTCATCACAAGTAGAATGAACTCAGGGCATCAAAGGATAAAGAAACTTTTTCAGCCTGAAGAGCAGCAGCTGAAGCAGGGCTTTCTGGCTTGGGCAGAATTTAAGGGGCAAAAATCATCATTTTTGCCTCAAAAATCATCATTTTTGCCTCTTAATGCCTTATGAGAAAAATTAGTTCAATTTTCAGGAGTTGTTCAGGGTCCTGAAATGGGTGACTTAAGATATTGCCAGCCTTAAGAAACTCTTTTTTTTTGTCACTTAATGATCTTCCATATCCCCAAGAGTTATCAAAGAGTATTGTGGAGCCTGATGATGGAATCTGGAGGGATCTATTGATCTATGATTCTAAACTTTTCTAGATTACTCTTTTGCTTATTCCCTGGGGGATTCTGTCTACCTTTGAGACTCATGGGTGTTATTTCCTGCTGTTTAAAAAAATAACTGAAAAAAAGTGCTTTGCATTTAATCTGCTCATTTTATTCCCTGTCTTCTCAGTGGAGAGTACCCATCTTTGATGGCTCTCCTCTTCCTTCTTACCTGGGGACATGTCCCATTTACTTGTCCAGATTCCTATAAGGCCATATGTTAATGTGCAATGTTTAATAGCAAGCAAAATGCTTTCAGTTCAGTAGCAGGATGGTTTTATAAGGTTGGTTATCACATATTTCAGAATATATAATTGTATTTATTTATTTATTTGAATTTGTATACCGCTCTATCTCCCTCACGGGACTCAGGGCGGTGGACAGGCAATAATAAAAATCACAATAAATATATTCAAGTTTCTATTCTAAAATCAGATTAAGTAAAAAGCCTGCTCTAAAATACCCTATCTAAAACCTTTACTAAAAACATAATTAAAACTACGCCAGGCCGGCCGCCCGGAATAGATGGGTTTTCAGGGCTCGGCGAAAAAGGCGCAGGTCCGCAACTGTACGTAGGTCGGGGGGTAGGTCATTCCAGAGGGCAGGAGCTGCCACAGAGAAGGCTCTCCCCCTGGGGGTCGCCAGCCGGCATTGACTGGCCGACGGCACCCTAAGGAGGCCCTCTCTGTGGGAGCGGACTGGTCGGAGGGAGGTGTTTGGTAGAAGGCGGTCTTGCAAATACCTAGGTCCATTGCCATGGAGTGCTTTAAAGGTATGTCTTATCAGCATATTATCTGGGGCTTGCTACTTCAGTGATTCAGTCTCGCTTGCAATGGGTGTAAATCAAATGAATATAAAAGCTCATAATAGCATGAAGCGGAGAATGAAATCAGTGATAAATGCAAATGCCTGGATCTAAGAGTGAGTGGGTTAAGTTGTATTGTTGTAGTATCCTTTCCCCCCCACTCATTTTCTCCTTGAAGGCCAGGTCATATTTTTTATTTGATTAGATCTGGCCTGAAGAAATATGGTCAATTCTACTGAAGACTGATTTTTTTTTTTTAAATGCTCTTTTGCAGAATTGCTTTGGCTTTGCAGGGGTTTTCTGCAGCTGTTGTGGGAATGCAAATCAGGAAATCTAATGAAAAATTTCTTCTGTTTTTTTTATCTCCAGGCACAAACCATGAATTACGTTGGACAATTAGCAGGGCAAGTCTTTGTGACAGTGAAGGAGCTCTATAGAGGATTAAATCCAGCCACGTTGTCTGGATGCATTGATATCATTGTTATCCGCCAGCCTAATGGAAACCTCCAATGTTCACCTTTCCATGTACGCTTTGGAAAGATGGGAGTTCTGCGTTCTAAGGAAAAAGTGGTAAGGAACAGAAAGCCTCAGCTTGACTTTTCTTTGTCAGCTGTGCGCCCTTTGCCCAGAATATTGCAAAAGGAAGGGTTTGCGTTTGTTAAATAGGTAAGATGTCGAATGTCAGGTCGCATACGGGCACAAGGATTGGAACAGTTGAAACCTTCACCTGTTCCTCCAAAGGTGCTTTTTAAAAAGGCAATTCTTTTTCCCTTGAAGATGCTTAGCTTCTCATCCAAGAAACTTCTTCAGTTCTGAAGAAACTTCTTGGTTGAGAAGTGAAACATTTTCAAGGAAAAAACAAAGTCCAGTTGCCTTTTAAAAAAGCACCTTTGGGGATAAGCATGACCTGGATGACGGAGAATCTCAGTAGACTTTCCTTTCTACCATTTTCCCTGAAAAATTTCGCACTCTTCTATTTCATTTGCTCTCCAAAAGGGGATGATGGCTATAGCCATAACTAACAATTTCTCATCCCAGCATAGGGCAGTCACAAGGAGAGCTCAGGTGTGTGTCTGACAGCCATTTAATCTTTTTTTAAAAATGTACTTGATCCTACTCCTACCACACTTGAAGGAGATCAAATGACAATGAGTCCAAATAAAGAGACAATGCGTGTGGATTTCTTAAAAAAATAATCATCCGCCTTTTCAGCAAGTGACAGAACTATGTGAGTTATAACTGCCGTGAGTCAGACTAATTGTGTTCTCAGGAATCATTTGCTGTGCATAAGCGCTTTCGTCACCTATCTAGCAATGAAAGCTTATTTAATTACTCACCTCAGCCTATCCCTTGATAAATGGCTGCTTCAAGCTCTTTTATGAACTTTATATTATGTGGTTTTAACCACGTATTTCAGAACCTGTATTGAAGCAAGGGAGATTTAAAAGATCTTAAATCAGATGTTACCTGGACTAAGTAAATAATTCTTAATTTTTGCTAGATTATGGTCTTCACTCCTAATGTTACTTGGTGTAATATAATGACTAATGATGATATCTGGGATGTTCTGGATTCAGACAGTATCATCTATTATGAGTTTGTTCACAGAACTTAAGGCAGCCTCAGTTATTCTCATTTTTAAAGGCATAATACAACCGATCAGTCTTAATAGAAACTGCTGATGTAATGTGAAGTGTTTTAACCACTTGGATCCCGTTGCTGTAAAATGGGTAAAAAGTTCTTTCACTTAAGGAATGAGCATGTCATATTTTCTTGAGGTATTTTGTTTAATCCATGGGTTTTTTTCGTATTCTCTCTAAGGTTGACATAGAAATTAATGGAGAATCTGTGGATTTGCATATGAAATTAGGAGACAATGGAGAAGCATTTTTTGTAGAGGAAACAGATGACAAAGAGGTGAGACCAGCCCGCCGTATGTATTTGTTTGTCATATTTCCAAGGGGACATAGAAAACAATAACAAAGCAAGGGATTGATGTTTGTTTTAAGAGATCAGTTGTGATAGGATTATCTACTATATTAAGCTTTTTGTTTCTCATCACATTTTATTTGTCATGTAGGACTAGGTTTATGTCTAAAATAGCCACTAGTTCTCATGATCACATTCTTCAAATTATTTCAGTTCTGTGTCATGTAGTAGCTAAACATTATGGAATAAAATGAGGTGGTTTTTTTTTACCATTTTCTCTAGTTACAGAAAAGCCATTAGCAGAGAAAAACTGGCATACAATATAATGTATGTGTAAGGTGAATACATTAAATCATTATAATTTACTGAGTTTGCAAAGTGGTTAGCATTTATAATCAAGGATTATTAGGAGTCACTTACTGGCAAGTCACAGTTCTTAAATTTGAGATGTTTTCTTGATTTGTACATTTTTCTGAGTTTGCCTTTTCCAGAAGAGTTTCTGTCAAGAGGGATTTTTGCAAAGGATGGACATGTGTGTATATGTGTGTATTAGTAGTTATATTTATGCTTCTGTTTATATACACATACCCATATTCTGCTGGCCTTGAAAGATTCACTGGCGCAGAACAGATTTGGAGTGTGTAGATTCACTATTGATAACGTTTGAGTTGACAGCACATCTTTTGCACAAATATCAGATGCCAACAGGCTTGTGTTTCCTTTCTTTAGGAGGCAATTCCATACCACTTGGCTACATCCCCCATTTTGTCCGAGGGATCTTTCATGGAATTACAACTGAAGAGAAATTCTGTTGATAGGTTAAGGAGCATGGACACTGCTGGTCCTTCACAGTTACCAATCCTTACTTCTCCTTCGGCAACTGAATCCATGACTGCAAGTTGTTCTGTCAAGAAAAGGAGAAAGAGGAGAAGGAAATCTGCCCATAAAATAGACATTTCAAAAAGAGATGAAAATGCAGATACCACGGAAGATGAAAACATGTTCCCTATAGAAATGAGTTCTGACGAAGAAAATGAGCTCTTAGATACGATTTCCAGGTATTAATCTAGAGTAGACATGTCAAACTCGCGACGTCATGCGACGTATTGTGACTTTTCCCCCGTTGCCGGCAATGGGGTAGGCGCGGTTTCGGCATGATGCATCCAGCCCGTGGGCCGGCAGTTTGATATGCCTGATCTAAAGGTCTAATTCAGTGATGGTGAACCTTTTAGAGACCGAGTGCCCAAACTGCAACCCAAAATCCACTTATACATCGTCGGGTGCCGGGTGGGTGTGGCCCATTGGGTGGGCGTGGCTGCAGTGGTAACAGCAGACTGGGTGGGACTAAAAAGTTCAATCAATCAATTCCAACTTTGCAAGATCTTTTTTTTTCCCGCAAGAAGTTGAAATTGACTGATTGATTGAACCTTTTTTTTTTTTGCACACGGCGGCGGAGGCCTAAAGCGAAAAGGTTTTATAAAACTCAGCTGAAGGCCTAGGACTGGGGTGACGGCGCGTGTGCCCACAGAGAGGGCTCTGAGTGCCGCCTCTGGCACCAGTGCCATAGGTTCGCCACCACTGGTCTAATTCATTCAAAGTGTTAATTTTTTTCAAGTCAAATAATACTTTAACATTTAAGTGTTTTAAATAGATTTTTTTCTGCTTCTTTTGTAGTACAAGAAATATAGAATGCTCATCGACTGTAGCTTTTATTTTGATTAAAGTTACAGGATTATAGTATCCTAGTTACCTTGCGAAGTTTAGTTGAAAAGTTAAATGTTATGTTCAAATGCAAGCTTGTCATTTATGTTGTATTGTTTTTTTAAAAGGGTGTGTACATGAATTGCAGCATAGCATCCAAACAATTCATTCCTGTTAAATCCTTTCCTCATAGATAGGTTAATGCCTATGGATTCTCTCCTAGTTGTTCTTGCTATTGCAGTTTCCTAGCCTTCCTCTGTTTACTACTGTCCTTTATTTCATAAAATGGAACCAAAAAAAAGAAAGAAAAGCTATAGTGAAAAGATAAAGGGATTATGTTTTCCTGTCCACATGCACAGAGATATTTTATTCATTCATATAGACATCTTATTTCAAAACACTCCCAAAACACTTATTTAGCTTCTGTGGTTCTGTTCTCTGACATTTATGTTTTGTAATAGTAAAAGGATTTGATATTTGAAACAAGTTCTTGAGAAAAGGAATTCATGAGATCAGATAAAACTGATGAATGTGTAAAAATATTGTGTCTAGAGAACAGTGAATAACTGGATATTATCAACTAGAAGTTGACAGTTGTTTGATGTTTCTTCAGAATTCTTATCAATATATATATATATTAAAAGAATATATATTTGCATATAGAATGTGAATAGATAGAATATTTATTATACACTGCCCAGAAAATAAGGGGAAAGGCAAAGATGAATTTGTAATATTTTGAAATTCTATTTTTTTTTTTAAAAATGGCATGCACGCATGATCAAAATGTCTAAGTGAAGTTGCCAATTTCTTTTACCCTTCCCCCAGCTGATTGTGTTGTGGTGCATCTGTAATTTTGAAGCAGCATACTCCTGTACTCTTTCAAAATAAATTACTGTGTCCTCATTAAATGAACACAAGATTAAAAACAAAAAAAGTAAATAAGATAATAACACCATCTGTTTGCTCCATTGAATTTGTAATAAACAATTACTAGAACATTTTAAAGGACCCATCCAGAAAGAACCTCAGATGTTATATATAGTACGATAGGATATATATTATAACACAATAGGTTTTACCAGTAATTACTAATTCAAGTGGTTATGGAAAATTTAGAAAGCATATTTTTTTTGCCAGAAAACAGAATCCATTTTTTAAAAATTGCACAATTTCTAAAAGTATCTAGATTTTTAACAATATCTATCTATGAGTTTAAAATGTGTTTTTATATTGCATACAATGCTAGATACGGGCATTTAAAACAAATCCCTTCTTTTTGTATGTATTGTTTATATTCAGAACATCTATCCCTGATTTGTCAAGGGATGAAGAGATCGAGGCGGTTTCTTCTATAAATGCGCTTGCTCATCCCCACTCAGATGGAGAATGGACACCCAGACAGAGGTACAGTGCATGTTACCAGGATAAATCAAATAATCTCCAGTCTGTGTGATGAACTCTTTTCATGCAATCTTCCTTTTCAGACCTATTCAGCAGTTAAAGAAAAGACAGGACTTTTCATGCTTCTGGCCTTAATGCTACGAATATCCCTCTCTGGTTTCAACTCCGTTTCAACCATTTAAATTCCAGTTCAGTAGTTCCAGCTTCAGTGATACATTGAGGGCTCAGCTATATGTTATATGTGAATGTGTGTAAGCAAATGACTTTCACTTCAAAGCTGCAGGAAGATGAATTGTTTGGAGCAGTTTTTATGTTGGGAGTCGAGAATGATTAGTTCAAGCTTTGTCTTCCCAAAATAGTTAGAATAGAGATTTTCTGTGCATTTTGTATATAATATGAATGGTTTGATCTCTATCTTGTTAGGCTTAATTTCAGAAAACTGTTGGTCTTAAGTATCCATTTTTAGGTATAATGTTCTGTTCATTGGTATAAACATACACAAAGCCTTTATGTCTCCTTAGGATTGAGTGCTGCTTGACTTGATGTGATTATGTTACCACAAAGTGTAATGGTGCCTATGCTGTTTGCAGCTTCTTGTTAAGCATTTGTGTAGAGTGGTTTAGTGGTTTCCTGAACTGTGTTCTGCCTTCCTGTGTCTTGTTTAAACCTTTCGTTTAACCCAATTTGGCTGTTTTCCAAGGGGCAGATGACAGCCTCAGCAACATGAGTTGATTTGAAACATATTGCAGGATAATGTGGCCTAATCTTTTTCTTTTTCCCCCTGCTATATTATACTATCCAGTAAATCTAGAACATGCACAGGGCGGTCCTCTCATCTCACTGTTCCAGCAGAGGGAAGCTTATCTAGTTCTTGTCCTGACCGGACCTCTCACTGTCCTGCTGAAGACAGGTAGAACAGCCAATTGCATTTTTGGATTGGTGATTAACCATTTAATACTGTTAACAGTATACAAGATTGGCGGATCTTATCAAACTGGTATTGTTTACTAACTCATGGCAGGAAACCGGGAAGTCGTTCATAAAGTTTTTGTCTGGGATTTGTAAGTCATAGTATTAATTGTACGAAAGTATAAATCTCCTATCAAACAGGGAGTGGCATTCATTCATTCATTCATTCATCATTCATTCATTCATTCATTCATTCATTCATTTCTCTAGATCCTGCACATGGCTGTCATGGCACTCGTTTTCTACCCCTTTTCCTTTCTTCAGAACTTTTTTTGTTGTTCTTCCTTTCACCTCGCCTGTCTTAGAATTCATTGATTACTGCCTTACATTCTTGGTTTTTTGTCTTTCCAAAGTTGGGTTCTTAAACTCCAGGCTCCTGTTTGCTAGTCCAGGCCTCTGCACTAGCAGAGAAGAGGGTAGTTTTTGATAGCAAGTCCTCAGTTGCACAATAAAATTGACACTGTATTTTGCTAATCCTACTATATTTTATATATATGGTACATATCTCCAATCATCCTTGCCAACACAGGGATTTGGATGCAGAAATGAAACTTTTCGCATTCCAAGGGCTTTTTCATTCCCTCCGTGAAAAGCACCAATTTTGCACATACCATTTTCATGCCAAAAGAACTGTCCATTGACAAGGAAGTATAGCTCTTGGATAGGAAAATGCCAGGATCCACTCACTATATTTTCATTAAAACCAATCTAATTCAAAATTACAGTTACAGGCTCTTTCAGTTTACAAATCTTAAAAATGTATCCGTCCGGTTTATAAGTTTATGAATATATACAGTATAGTAATGAATTATTCTAGACCTCCAAAACATCTGGGTGACTTTGAACCAGTCACTCCGACTCCAGGCTCATCTCACAGGCCTGTTTTATAAAAACAGGGCTTTTTTCCGGCACCTTTTTTGGATGGAACCTTGTAGGGTAGGGAAGGCGGGTTGTATGTAGTGTGTGAGTTCCGGCACCTTTTTTTTTTTTTTTTACAAAAAAAGCACTGTATAAAAAAGATGCATGAAATAGGTGATACAATTCTAGAATAAGAATCCATTTCAAAGGAAAGTGAATTTAAAAGTGATTCATGACGGGGCAGGACTTCACTCAAATGCAAACTATAGCCATCACTTTCAGCAAAGAAAAGTTTAGCTTGATCTTGCAGCTCCTGGTAGTTCTACAGGCTTTCCATATCCTGAAGCTCACTGTCCCAAAAACGTTTCAAGGAAGCAAAAAATAAGAGGTTTGCATGAAAAAATATATATATAAAGTGGGAATCAGCAATTAGAAACTGAAATTGTTCCGGAGCAAGAGAAGTCCCTTGTTAATGGCTTACATGCCCTTTAGGGTGTGGGAAATCTGTAGACTGGCTGACTACTACAAGGAGGCTTTGTGACTTGTGGGGGGCGGTTTCCTTTACACTCACTGGCCTATGTTCTTTTATAGATTCATAACTTCCTTCCTTCAGAGAGCATTTGCTTGTGCTTTTTTTCCCCCCCTGTGTCTGACGGAGAAAAAAAATATATAGTTCCCATTTCTGTAGTTGTTGAGTTTCTTATTGCAAGTGACATTTGAGAGCGGCCGGTCATCAGCACCCTGAACAGGTTTCTTTATCTTTTGTTATTGCATCAGGTTCACATATGTACACGAGCTGCTCATCCGTATGTTTTCTACGTTATGAAACAAGTTATATCGATCTTCAAATATAAAAAAAATAAAGAAGATTTGAATAAGACTATATCAGTGGTGGCAAACCTATGGCACGGGTGCCAGAGGTGGCACTCAGAGCCCTCTCTATGGGCATGCGTGCCGTCGCCCCAGTCTTAGGCCTTCAGCTGGTTTTATAAAACCTTTTCGCTTTAGGCCTCCGCCGCCATGTGCAACCAAAAAAAAAAAGGTTCAATCAGTCAATTTCAACTTCTTGCAAAGATCTTGCAAAGTTGGAATTGATTGATTAAACTTTTTAGTCCCACCCAGTCTGCCATTACCACCGTAGCCACGCCCACTCAATGGGCCACACCCATCCAATTGGCCACATTCAGCCAATGGGCCACACCCACCCGGCACTCGATGATGCATAAGTGGATTTTGGATTGCAGTTTGGGCACTCAGTCTCTAAAAGGTTCGCCATCACTGGACTATATTTTAATCCATATTTAGACAAGGGTATTATAATTTAGATGCCTATTTTAAAGGATATAATTCTATATTCTGGAACATCAGTACGTTTCACAACTAGGAAAGTTTCCGTAATTTTCAGATTGTATCTAGAGTTTGTAAAAGTAAAACCCAAGTTATAATAAAAGTCTTGGTTTTCTCCTTCTCCAACTAGAGAAGGTGAAAACATGTTCTAGTCATTTTTTCTCCCCCCTCGCTTGCAATTCAAATTGTTGGATTTTTTTTGAAAGCAGCATTTAAAGGCTAGCACTGATGGTGTTACCTAGTTTGGGTAATGAAACGTCTGCAAGAAAACAACCAAACTCAGAGAGCACCAAGGACCCCTCAGAATTTGTTCTAAGATAGGCTGTAAGAAAGGGATAGTTTTCTTACTGGGGATTATTACTGCAACAGAAATGAATGGAGCCTGTAAATAAATATTTACAGCGTGCTTTCATTTAGAGATTTTATTTTTTGTTCTGTATTTTTTTTTCTTCTGGATTGGGATAGTGGGATAGTTGCTTAGCCTAGTCCCAGCTACATTAAAATTTTTATTTTATTTTACTCATGCAATTGATTTCAGTGAACAATTTCCATTCTACCTCCTGGGTCATTTTATAGTGACTTTCCTATCGCGCTAATGAAGTTCTTTATTTTTTCTGTTTTTCTTTCTTCTTGATGATTACATACCTCTGGTTATCAGTGTTCTCCAGCCTTAATTTATACTGTGTGCCATTGAATCACCATCATACTTTATTTGGAAATAGAGAGGATCAGTGTTTGTAAAGCCTATCGGTGCTTGTTTCTTATGTATGGATAATTCTGACTACATTTCTACTAGCATTAATAATGACTCCCTCCCTCCCTCCCTCCCTCTGGTTGTGTTATCTTTGTGTGCACACTTTAAGAATTGAATATTGGCACCAATTTCTTCCTTCCTCCTCCTCCTCAATAATTGACTAATGGTGCTATAACTGAGCAGTGCCAAAATTATACATACTTTAAACATGTAATTTATTTACTCAACTTGCTCTTTGTACTTCAAGACTTCTGCTTTGATGCCAGTCACATTAGTGATTCAAACTGATCATTTTGTGTCAGCAATTTTATTTCTAAGTGGGAAAAAATACCCTCACTGTGTGAAGGGTTCTGCGTGGATTTCACCAGGGAGGACAACATGCTTTGATTTTGAAATAGTTTGAGCTTAAAATACCCCCATTTAAAGTTCAAACTGATTGTATGGCATTGAAATGTGCTGTTTTAACAATACCAGTGGCGTTCTGAACTCGAAACAAGCTTATTTAGATCTCAGAAACCTGTTTCAAACTTGAGACGAAGCTGTTTGGGGTTCTGAATGTTCCAGTAAGATTGTGACAGCGTGTTTCAAATTTGAATCACCTGTTTGGAATTTAAAATGGACATTTTTTAGCTTGAAACCTTTTGCACAGTTATCCAAAGTCATGTGCAGGTCTGAGCTTAGAGGATAAAAGTCACGATATGCATACCCTTGTGCTGTTTTTCCTGTTTCAGGAGCCACTGTCTCTGTTTGTGCACATTGCAGTTCCCATATGTCTCTTCCTTTGTGTGGGCATATACAGTATAGTCAGAATTATCTTTTGTTGACCTTGTCCTATCCAAGGAAGAATGAGAAGAAATCTTTCTGTTTTTTTCTGGAGGATAGGGGCTTGGCCCTAAAGCTTTATTTTGCTGCGATCTCTGGCAACTTCCTTTAAAGTGTGCATCCTGTTGAAACTAATACAATCTACCTTTGTATAAAACTGATTATTTGAAAACATATATTGTACCCATTTGGCAAATCATCTGTTAAAAGGGAAAAGCACAGTGAGTTCGCTATTTGTGCACTTGTACATGTTTCAGGGGCTATGGCAGTGGTTCTCAACCTGTGGGTCGGGACCCCATTTGGGGTCGATCGACCATTTCACGGGGGTCGCCAAGCAAGGCTGTCCGCCATTTTTTTTGTCCGCCATTTTTTTTGTCCGCCATTTTTTTCCCCTTTTCCGGCGGGTGCCTTACCTCCCTTGGGCTGGGCCAGCTGGTGGTCGGCCTGCTCCGTCTCTGCCGCT